CAATGTTTGAAATCAACCACAGTTGATAGTGAATTAAGTAAAGAGAAATTTGCAGTTTCTACGACAGTAGCCGAAACTCTTACTACAACAACTGTAAGTAGTGTGGAAATATTAATAAATGACGCAACAGAATCTGAGCGGTTGCAACAATCATGCATTACTGGAAATACAAGGCACCCACAGGAATCTGAATCTCAAGATAAATATGTATCAACAAGTCACGATATTGCAAATAATACTGTAAGTATTAATATAACGAATGGAGACCATTCTAATGTACAAACAGATTTAAAAGTTGATACTTGTGTCGAAGTAAGCGATGACGTAAAGGATAGCAGATTCCCTAATTGTAAAATCAAAGAAACTATTTTTGAAAATCACACAGCTGATAAGAAAAATATTTCTAATATCCTTGACATGTCACTGTGTTCAAAAAATGAAAAAGTCAATGATATCGATTCGAAAGCAGATCATAAAGAAAATGTAGAAATTGAATCGAACAGGAATTGTGGTAGAGAATGTAATATAGAGGAATTAGTAGAAAGATCTTCTGTACTGTGCAAAAAAGTTGACCAAATGCATGATCATAAATCACCGAAAGAATCGTACAAGATATCACATATGAAAAATATTCAGGATTCATCGGGGGATAAATGTATCATTCAAGATTCAGAGTTACACGATAATATAGATGGGCTTTCATTATTAGCCAATGTTATCGCAAGTCAGCATGTATCTCATCTAAAAACCGAACGTGATTTAAAATACGAACAAATCAAAGTCAAGGATTATGCATCGTTAAGAAATTCTCCTAATAATCAAACTACGGATGATGAAGCTGATACCAATGATTCATCGACCGTTTCTCAAATTTTGGAGAATCCATCCACTGAAGTCATCAATAGAATAGTTGGGATTTATCCAGAAGACGCATTAGACAAAGTAGCGCTTCATGTTGAAGTGACATCGACAACTGATCCCGATGACCGCGAAAACGATCCAAGCAATAGCGTTTCGCATATTGTTGAAACTACTCTCAATTATGAAACAGACACGATATCCAACAATTTAAGTATGGTGGAAAACAATGTACAGTCAATAAAGGAAAATACGAACGTTATATTAAACGGTGAAACAGTCATGCTCTTACAAAAGTCTCCCAATAGTAATTTATACATTATTAATAAAGCAGTGGAAAATGCACGAGATCATAATAGCGACGATGAGAGTTGTCCAATTAAAGAAAAGAACTGGATGATTCCACCGGAAGATTATGCATCGTTTGAAGTTGTTAATACATCAGAGCATATTTCGTTTAATTTGGATCTACCGCAATACAATAAGGAATTATCGTGCCAAGAAAATAAATATTCTGTCGGAAGGAATAAAGGTATAAAAATCGAGCCTGAGGAGGAAAGCAGCTTAATGAGCATCACAGAAATGAAATCTTATGGTAAAAAAGGTTCATTGTCAGCCGATGTGTTACCTGCGACGTCACAAATCTATCAGGACACGAATGTTGCGAATATTAGCATCAGCAAATCAGTCGATAAACGAAAATCCAAATCCATTCTTACTTATAGGCAGAACATTAAGCAAGAGTTCAGCAATCATATTACGCCTAATTGTGGAATACAAGGGTGCAACGGAATACATTCGCATCCGCATGAAGTAATTGACCCGCAACATTCGTTACATATTCCGGTCACTCATCCCACGACAATACCTTCGATTTACGGGAACTGCGCTGCCGGCACAGATCTGTGTATGCCATATCACAAGCATTGCACCTCAGTGTCGTGTAGTTTACAAATTAATTCTACTACTTCGCTCCATTCCCACACGAAATCCGCAAATTCATGCGGGAGATCACACTGCTCATGTCTAAATTGTACGTATGACATAGTCACGCATTGTAGACAGTGTATACACCCGGCCACAGACTCCCACGTGTCTTGCATTGAAAGTAATTCTTATTTTTTGCCCACACATTCATCAGTACAAACATCCGCCGTCCAAGAGCACGATAGGACAAAAAGCGAAGCGGTAATAAGTAAATTATACGACGATCAAATATTGCGTAAAAGAGTACTACAAAATAATACGTTGGAGAAGTTGGATATGCCGCGCGAGTCAGAGAAGTTATTTAAGAAAGATATGGAGAACACGTTGCCGTTGAAAAAGAGATTGAAAGCTCATGCCATGATGTCAATGGCATATGAGAAGGTACCTATCAAGACAGAGAAATTGGATAACTATCCTGGAATTCCCATGATGTCCATAGCAGCCATAGAAAAGATAGATGGTACACAGAAACATCCCACGCAAATCATTAAGTCATATGAATTATCCTCTAATGAAGAGGATAATCCACACGGCAGCTATCACTTCAATTCGAATATAGTGCGAAGGGATTACTACAAAGATATCCACATTTCTAATACACATAATCTTACGAAAGAAAGTACAAGAAATCACGAGCGTCAGTTTCGACCGAATGGTGAGCAGCCTAACGCAGTGTGCCTAGAAAGTTGTCAGGACAGGATACCTGCGCAGCGCAGAGACGTCACAAATCCAATATCTCTGAAACATATAACAACGGAGACGATCGAACAGGATAGCGCGTGTAAAAAGGCGAAAAAAACGCAGTCGTCTATTAGACAAACGAGAAGCTCAAAAAGAAACGTTCCTAAGGTAAATTATTGTTACACCGATGTTGATCCAGAATGGAATCCGTCCGGTGAGTCAAAACGAAGACGTAAGAAGACTAGTCGATGATCATTACTATTTCATTACGAGAAGTCACTGCTGTAAAAATGAAAGAGAAAATGGAAGCAACCTGTATAGAGGACAAATGTGTTCTTCAAGCTGTGGCACTGTAAATCTGTGTAAATATATGTACAAAACAGAAGCGAAAAATAACTCGTCCTAGAAGATTTAGAGATAGATCGTTCAGCAGCGTGTTCAAGATTAGCGTCAGCGAAGAATTACATTAGCTATATATAGAAGACATCTGCATAAAATATTTTTGATGTTTGGTTAGATATCGCTAGAAGCAAGTTGTAGAGAATTTTATTCCGTTAAATCATAGTTTAGACGTTCCTAGTTGTGACAGTAAACGTCGACATTTTTGTTGCGATCATATGATTTATTGTCATATATCTTTAGTATATGGCTACATATAAGAAAATGTTACAATTCAAAACAGAATTATTGTTAAATTATGTTAAAAATATAAAAAATACGTGTCAAATATTTTTATCCTTTAAAATTAAATTTTCAATAAATTATTTCTTTACAATATTTGGTAATTATATAGAATAGCATACCCAACTAAAATCTTAATGAAAATACACTCATCCGACGCGTTTTCACTCAAAATGAAAGAATCTAGCAAAAAAATGGGGCGATCGATTCGTGAACCGAGATATTGAGCGTTAAAGTTCGAGATTTTAGAGATTAAGATATCTGTCATTCCGACTCGCTGCAGCACTACGTAAGATCTGTTTGATTCTTTTTCGAAGAATAAAAATGAAATAATGCAATAAGTTAGAGTGAGACAGTTGTAGTTTGGAGCACTTTCATCTGATTGGTCTATATTTTAGGATCTAATGAAATATGCCAATCAAATAAAAAACCTTACTAAGCGGTCAGTAAGCGGTTGTCGTTCTGGAATGCTTATACTTCTCTGCTGTAGATTGATTTAGGCTGTGGTCAAAGTTTTGATACAAATGCTTTGAAGCATTTGATGGACCAATTAGAAGAAAGAATTTTACAAACTGACCGATTAAAAAACGCTTTGAAGTATTTTTTAATTGGTCAATTTGTAAAATTCTTTCTTCTAATTGATCTATCAAATGTTTCAAATTATTATATTTGTAACGAGACTTCGACCACAGCCTCAGTAGAGTAACTAAATAAAAATCCTTGGCTTGCTGTCCAAGATGTAGTTGGACATGTAAAATTGTGGCCGAGGTTTATCCGAAAATTGTTCTGGGATCGCAAATTAACCGATCACAAACGAATGATTCTCGTAAATTTCTCTTTTGTAAATGCAATATCGGAAGATTTTTTTACACATCTTATCCTTTACATACAAAAAAATGTATAAAAGATCGGAAACGCGCGATTCTTTACAGGATTTAATTCATGAGGTAATATCATTAATTTTAATTAACGAATTAGATAATACATAATGAAACATTTATAACATTTTGTAAAATTTATAGGAATTTGAACGACCACGACGAAGTCATGTTTATAGCTTTAGTGTGTATTTCAAAGAAATGGATTTAAATTTTAATCCATATAAGAAAAATCAAAGAAGTATACATTTTAAATAATAAGCTCTATTCTATATCTTTTAAATATATAGCTCTAAAACACAAAAGTACTACTTTAAAAACAACATTTCATTATTTTAAAAATAATTTACTGTTTTAAAAACAACAATTCACTACTTTAAAAATAATTCACTGCTTTAAAAACAATTCACTGCTTAAAGAACAATTTACTGCTTCAAAAACAGCAATTCACTGCTTTAAAAATACAAATTCACTGCTAATGCAAAGAAGTGTATTGTTTTTAAGGCAGTGAATTGTTTTTAAAATAGTGAATTGTTGTTTTTAAAACAGTGAATTGTTTTTTAAAGTAGTGAATTGTTGTTTTTAAATCAGTGAATTGTTGTTTTTAAGGTAGTGAATTGTTGTTTCTAAAGAAGTGAATTGTTTTTAAAGCAGTGAATTCTTCGAAAAAAATAGACCTTACGTATATACATAGCGCTGCAATGAATCGGAGTGACAAATATCTTAATCTCTAAAATCTCGAACTTTAATCGCTTAATAACTCGGTTCACGAGGCCGACCGCATTTTTTTGCCAGATTCTTTCATTTTGAGTGAAAACGCGACGGTTGAGTGTATTTTCATTAAGATTTTAGGTGGGGGTATGCTATTCTAAATAATTAATCAATTTTTATTTGATTATACAATTTAATATAATTTTATATTCAATTTAATATAATTCCTTGGATCAGTTATTTGAGATACGTTTATAAAATATTTTTCTTATTCTTGAATTTCTTTTTTCGTTTTTTATTTGTTAATATTTAAATTTACAATATCGCGCTTGTCTTATGAGATATTCACTTGCGACCATATATCGATATTGTAAGTTTTTTTTAATTTGATAAATATATTTCTTAAGATATATTCTTGCTGCTTTATATATAAATAAATATAATAATTCATTGATACAAGGTCTGTAAAACCGACGATATTTAAACTTTGATTCATAACTAAAAAAGTTCTCATCAAAGTATAAAATTTTTATCAAATAAAAATAAAAAACTGACAATATATATATATAGTCACAAATGGGTCCTTCATTGTTAGCTGAAAGTAAATTTACTATAGTGCTTTCGTTGAATTATATTTTTAATCAAATAAATATTTTTATATAATGATGACATTTTTGTTAGAAATAATATTATTTCTTTACTAAAACTTTAACTCAAATAGCGACACTGTTATAGAAGCGAGCAAGACGAATTTAACTGTAGACTATATATTGTTGATTACATTTTCCACATGATAAAATTTCACGTTCTGATTTTTGGCTACTATCGTAACTGGGTATGTCTAAAACTATGATTAAACATCGTTTCTCTCTACTCTTGTGATATTGTAATTGATATAAGGCTTTGTAAGATAATATTTAAATTTTAATGTTTTTCTATTGTCATGGTTGCAGCGACGTCTGTCGCAAGCTATAACTTTCTTAAGCATAAAATTCTTTTAAATTTTTGTAAAATAAAATTAAAGTTTCTGTATAGTGTTTTCTGTATGAATATGTATATATATATTACATATATATATATTTGTACATACATAATCAATGCCAAACAGAAACTTATTTGGTGGAAACGTATTTTGAAGTAGTATCATATTTTTTAAAGGTAAGGTTATCTTATATAATAGCATATTAGTTTAATGACTTGTTTGCTGACATAAAATGTTTAGACAAAATGATATAAAATCAAACATATCAAAAATATTATGTATAAATGTGTTTGTATAGATTATTAACTGTTATTGTATTATCATTATGTTATACGTTACTTTTCTTTTACAGTTATTACAATTTTAGAAAAACACTAGATATTATTGTATTTTATTATGCATGAATAATTTATGATGATAATTATATGTGAATTCTCCTCCAGGTTCCTGAAGAATACAAATTTAAATTCAGGAATGTAATACGACCAGGTTGACGATTAAAAGTTAAAAGTGTATTCAAAAATCCAAATTTTCATTGAACACAAATAGGATAAACAATGTCTCAGGAGCATGTTTGCATAGGTAATTCTAAAGTAATTATGTATACGTATATAAAATTTTGTATTTTAAGTATCTGATATCAAAATTTAAATATTATATTTCATAGTCTTATAGTGTTATAGTTTTTCCAATTTGTAATAATTCATAGAGATACATATACGATTTCACGATTTATTTTACACATTTATTTATATGTAACATATGTCTTATATTTCAGAATAATTATCCGCTTATACTTGAGTAACTTTGGGCAAGTGTTTAATGCAAGCACATAATGTCAATAAATTCGCCAAATGGTGCAAAATTATTTGTATTGCCGTACAATTATAAAAACTGGAAATGTTTAATTTCTTCCACTTTATAATCTGTCCTCTTATTATATATAGAGACGCAGCCCTATATTATATCAAGAAAAAAGCTATTGTTTAATATAAACTTATATACATACAGGTACCTATCAAAATAAGTAGAGTAGTCAGCCGATTCGTATGATAACAAAAAACTTCAGGTCCCGTTGAAAAAAAAAGAAGAGATAGTATGTTATATAATTGAAAGTAATCCATATATTTTTTCTGTAATACAAATGTCCATCTTTCGTTAAAACGCGAGCTACGCGAGGGCTACATGAGCTACGTATTCTAAAAAATAAAATGACCTAATCGAGCTTGATAAATAAAATGAAACTGAGGCATGCAAGGAAAAATGCACAATTTAGATATCGATAGTTACCAAGATAGAAAAGCTTTACAACTAGCAAGCATCGTATAGCTTGTTCCTATGTAATTATTTAGTATTTCAGTTCATATATCTGGAGTCTTACTTTAAGAACTGATTAACATTAATATATAGCATTTAACTAAATTATATTAAATTTAACCTGAATTTTTTATGAGATACATTTTTAAGGATATAATTTTTTAAATGTTATATATTATATTGTAAATGGTTCTTATGAAAAAAAATTGCTCATGCTCATTCAATTCTATATGTATATCTTATGTTAATGGTTTCAGAGTATCTATTACTATTAAACTTTTTTTGTTATAATGTGTATCTGATCTGAACAAATTAAGTCACATTGCAGTCCCTGTGTTAAACCTGAACCAGTCAGCGTCATTATTTTATTCTAATATAAATGTTCTAACTACGTTCAATTATTTCGAGATAGATTTGGTTCAAGTAATGCATAACTTCAGTGCCATATCCCTATACCTGATCTCATATCTGTGATCATTAGCTAAGCGGTAGCTAACATTTTGTTGTACAAAAAGAAAATGTACCTTGTTAAGTAGTCTATTTGATAGATTACTTGTCACTGTCACACTTGTCATCATTGTACATTTATTCGTCTTCATATAAATGATTGTAGTTAGAGATTTTTTTTTATTGTAGACTGCTATACCTCTTATGTTTACTACAATACTGTTTTCTTATTTTCAACTATTTCAACTAGATTTTAAATTATATTTCCTACACTTGACTGAAAGACGCGTCTTTTTCATTACCGATAATGATTTTTTATTGTTATGTTTACCGATAATGATTCTTATTGTTATTTATTTATTAATTTACAATGCGATAAGTCTGATAGGCTTAAGTTTAACACAAATTTATAAGTTACTATAGCTATAAATAATTAGTTCATCAAAATTGCCAAAAGTCTTCATACATATGGATCGAATATATATAGATCATTAATCATAAATACATTATTGTACGCATAAAACATTTATTAAGGAAAGTCTGACGTCTTAAACTTTAATCAAGTTAGTATAGTAAAGTACTTTACATCAGATGCCTCATTAATTCGTGTTCATCAAAAATTCAGTATTCTGTATGCGTAGAACATCTCTTTCGTATAATGATAAATAAACCTGTATTTACCTATATTTGTACATTATGTGCATTACATAAAATGTCGACTGCATAAAATCGAGGTAAATATATTGCACATATGATAATACTATTATATTTACCTCTTTCTATATATTATACTCACTGGAACTATAGATTCATCGCTATTATCTACGAAATAAGAATAGAAATGTTAGAAACTCTCACACAACAGGGTAAAATTAATATGCTTTTGATGCTTGCAGCATCGGGTTCATTATATTTTACATAAGTATGTATACTTATTAACTAAAAATAGAGTATATAGAGAACATACCTCTGAACAGGGTAAAAGCGAAAAAATATTCGGCATGCTTATAATGTTTGTTAGTTCATATAATTACAGATACCTTCTTTATTCAGAGATATTGATTTATTTTACAAGTGTATCTAATTATCACAACTTTTTCTTTCAATTTTAGTAAAGCAGTTTTATTACGTCAATAATAAACATCGCCCAAGATTTGTAAATATTTTTAGGTACATGTTGGTCACATCCGAATGTGTTTATTACGCCATTATATTGCAATCACTTTTCTATGCAAACAAGATGAATGAGATTTTAGTATCATTTTTTCCACATATATATATATATATATATATATATATATATATATATTCTATGCTAGAGAATAAAACAAGTATTTACGAATTAAATATACATAGTGAGAGGAAATGTATTGAATGCTTCTAAAATGATAGTAGTAATTTAATGCTCTTACATATAGAAATACAAGTTCTGCTTTTTAATGAAAATGGTATTTCTTTTTGACTAGATTATCGAAATGTTTCTAAACTGAATACTGAGTTTTCCAATTGATTTTGTACAATTGCGCGTAATAAATGAATAACTCGAATGTATTAAAAATTGAACTTTTATTCTTTTTTTCAGTCTCTGCATTGTTGTACATTGTGAGTTTAACTTATCACAATATAATATTTTTACGCATAGAACGCAATTAATACAGGAAAATTAATTTATCATAGATCTACATATATATACAATTATTGAACTTATACGTGAAAATTTACGAATACTCTTGTAAAAAAAATATTAATGGTTTATACATAAAAATTTGAATTCGATAAAATTAGGAGATGTATTACATAACTAACAAAGTATTCGACTAAATATCATTATATCTTTATTAATCTAACTGCATACTTAAATATTTTACGCAGTACGAACGATAAGCGAATGAACTTGTTTTAAAACCATGTGAAAGCATCGTCTAAATATATATTCTGCCTTTCATATTGATACTTTACAAAGAAATATAATACAATAAAATATAACTTGTATAATTTGATAGACATATAATGAGTTTGTATATTATCTCGAAACTCTTACACATAAACTGCATAATCAGGTCTGACTTCTTTTGACAAATTTGATAGAAGTTCCTTACACAGTACATACAGTATTTATTACACAAATATTTTGTATATATAAGAATGACGAAAAAAAAAGATACAGCTGTGTTCTTAGGCCTAGAGGATGAAGTTGTAAATAAATAACATTTTACTATAAAATTTGCAGAAAAGGAGAGATTAGAATTACGTTTTAAACCGCTGACATGTACATTCAATACAAAAACATGTACAATATAATGCAATAAAGGAAACAGTTTTAAAGCTTCCATTGCACTATTCCCAAAAAATAAATCTTCATTTATCCAAATGCGATAATATCATTTAATTCTATGACGAAGCAATGTTATTGCTTGCTTAAGAGAGCTGATATTTGTTATTCATGTGTTAATGATTATTTAGTAATATACTGAAATGTATTATATTGAATTATATATACTCGCACGTACGAATGCAATTTTTTAAAATATATGTTTATCAGGGCACTGTATTCATTTAAGATAATACTAATAAGAATATCCTTCTCCTCTCGGATAAACTTTATTCTAGAGAATATATTTCATTTATTTACTATCTACTGGCTGTAAATTATAAATTATGCAATCTTTCGAATTAAATTATGTATATATATGTATATGTTTTTTTAGAATAGTGATCCATTCAGAAGTGAGGTTGTCTACAATAAATATAAAATATTCGAGGTATAAGCGCAACAGAATAAATTTTCACACACTTTCTTTTTATACATTACTATTTACATAGGGCGTGGAACATGTGCTCGAATTTATGTCATTCTGTGTATATATGCTCTTACAATATGCAACTTTAGAAATATAAAATATTTTCTTCTGTAACTTATACGCATGCAATTTAAAATAACTGTCTATTTTGCAAACATTTATGCACGATTACTTTGTATCATTTCTATCTTGCTAAAAGTCTTAAAGAATACTTGTCCTCAATGCATTTGAAAATTAAAGGAAATGTAATAAAAAGTAGATTATCTTCACAGCAATAATATGGCAAGCAATGATCTTGTAATTTTACTTTGTAAAATATATGAAAAAAAATAGGAATGTATTTCTTAAAGATTCGTTATTAAGCTTATATTATAATGTCAGATGCGAGGCAATATATGATTTATGATTTTCTATGATTCACAATAACTTTATCTACCTAATTATTGACAAATCTAATTATAAACAAGTTTCGAAACTGTGTTTTCACATAATTTGTTGAATTCAAAGTAGTGTTTATATCACATTTTCAAAACTTAATTTTCTGAATCTGTTCACGAAAGATCATTCTCGCAAACTTGAATAAATGTTTTTCTGACATCATAATTTATAATAGCATTATCAAATCTTAAAACATTTTGTTCAATATTAATATCAGTAATACGTCTCCCTTTATCAAGAGGATTTTTATCTACTTGTACTAAATATGAGGTACCATAAAATCAGTCTCTACATTAGATATCGACAAAGAAATGTACAACAAATTAAATTTTAATACTAAATATCATAGGATTCCTCTTTGTATGAAGAATTCATCAACCTCATCGACTAGACACAATAAATTATTAATTCATTTAATATATAAAACTATATTTTTTTAAATAAAATTCCAAGTTATTTAATTAAAATAACTTTTTAACAACTAAAAGACTTCATACAAATTTGATTTGATCCAGATTTTTACGTATTAGAAAAAAGTGCAGTGAAAATAAATTACATAAGGAAGTAAATATCCTTTTATTGCCAAATAGCAATAAACGAGCACAATAAAATGTTTAGCGACTCAATTTCATATACTGTTCTATATTATTTCGCTAATGATTAAATTAAGCTAAAAAAAATATAGGAAAAGCAGTGTACATTAATTAATATATAGTACATGAAAATTATTATTATTAATTCTGTTTGTGTATATGTGATTTTTTCAAATTGTAAATTTTCCGGATATTCAATACTGGTATATTCAAAGTAATAATTCTATTAATTAATATAATGATTAATTATTTCCACCTTATTTAAAATTTAAGGTAAAACGTATTTTCTTTAAATATAATCCGTGTAATAAAATTTTTTACTAGTTCATCCCTATTAATCTACTTCTGTAATAACTTTGGAAATATACTTCAGAAATTTAACTCTTACCAGAATAAATGATATTACTACTGAGAATAGTTCCTTTTTCTTTTCAACACGTATATCGCATTATATTCATATATTTACTTAATATTTAAATGCAACTATAAAATAATATATACGTATATCTATATACATAAAATACATATTAAAAAAAATCTGCCAAAAATGCTTCTTGACCATATGATACAATTATAAATTAAACATAACTTAAAAAATATTATTTCTCTCTTTATAAACTTTTAATCTTATAGATTATGTCTGAATAATTGTACGAATTATATTGCGTTAGCGTTGCCACCTAGACGATCGTTTTGACTCGGTATCAGAAAAAGAAAAAAGTTAATGTTTATGAAATCACACATAAATGATTTATGAAAATTATCAAAACAAGAAAAATCCAAAAATATTATAAGATAAAAAAAAATGATTAAATAATAAAAAGCAACAAAATTTTGACAATCACGAAAATATATAAATTATATAAATGATATCCCGGGAAAAAATGTTATATATATGTGGGCATATTTTATATGTATAATTATGTATAATTATATATAATTATATATGAAATATTTTTTCCCGGGATGTGCGCACGATTACATAATAAATATATAAATTATTATTTTTATTGACTTCATTTTCATAAATATTTGCAGTTTTAACAAGCTCCATATTTTTAAATTTCTTGATAAATTCATAAAATTCTTAACAGTTCATCGATAAATATAACATCGTAATGTATACATCTTATTCGAAACGCCCTTCTTAGTTTTTTTCCAATGCCGTACATTCAAGGAATTTTTTTCATTAAAAACTACATAAGACGTTTTTTCATAAGATATTTTATGCAACCTGGAGAAGTAACGAAATCCAAACTCGGACATAAATCTTCAAAATCCGGAGTTTTTGGTTCGAACTCAAAAAGGTGGCAACCCTACATCACGTTGTTTAACATCTTGGAAGCTTTTAATGTAATTTTCGGTATCATATGTTCAATTTTTATTTCAATCATCAAATTACGACTTAGCGTAAGTATTTAAAAATTGGCGACTTAGCGTAAGTAGTTAAAAATTGGCGACTTCTTCAGGATAAACGACAATCAATCACGCTGTAATAAACAAATGCATATGTGATAAATATAATTTCTTTATTACATTTAGACCTTTGTGATCCAATCCTACTATATTAACAATTTATGTCAAATGTTCTAATCAAACAAGATCTAAAAAATGACATCATAAGTAGATCTATAATATCCTTTAATTGCTATTTAAATAAAGCATGTATAATTTTTTTAAATAGCTTTTTTAACTTCGCAACTATTGTATTAGGTGTTGGAATTAATTCGTAGCGTTTTTAATGAAAGAATGTTATTTATTTCACATGAGCATTAAAAAATACATTAATGAAAGTACTTCCCATCACTTGTAAAACGCTACGAATTAATTCCAACACCTAATATATGAAAATTATTTAAATTTGGAATATTTATTTCTAGAAAAATCGGATCACAAGAAGCCTGAATATATTGAAGATCTCATTGCAAAATTCGTTACCTCCAATAAAAGGTTACCTTAGAAAAATTTGATATTTATAAAAATAAATAATAATGAATAACAATTTTGTGTGAAGATTAAAATACTAAGTACTAATTATATCTACACAATTAAAAAATAATTATTACAGTTTAAAATTTATATCTTACACAAACGCTTCTTTTAAATTTCTTTTATTGTATGTTATTGTATACACGAATTGAAAATGTTCTCGTAATCTAAGACGTAAATTTTCGTAATTATATACAACAGAAACTGATAATTGCAATTTTTGTCTATTTTTTAAATTATAAGATTGAAATTACGGAGATAGCCAAGTTTTAAAATGAGAAACTTTATATAATAAATGTACATTACACTCACCCACTGCATTTTTTCATGTTCTTCTACACATAGATATAAACTCTGAAAATAAAATAAAATGTCAGTAAATATAAATATTACATGATTCAATAATAATGTAATGAATAATTATTAAGCCAATAAGGCGCTATCTTCTTACACAAGTTTTAATTACAATATCTTCAAACAGATGATTTAAATACATTACTTATATCAATGTCATGGAAAATAATGTTAACATTATATATAAGTTACATTTTAAATAATAGGTATACAAGTGATGTTTTAAATTATTTCATACATATACAATTTAATATTACTTCCTACACTAAAGAATAAAAAAATATAAAATTCTTAAAATTTAATTTTTTTATTCTTTTTATGTATAAATAAAATTTAATTTATTTCATGGCAAATATTAAATTAAGGGAACAATGTTCTAAATATTTTAGACACATTTATGTGTTATATATAATTAATAATTATGTTATCCTTATATTCAAATTTTAATAAATTTTAATTTATCACTTATTAATATTCTGTGAAATTTAAAAAAAATGATAATTCTATAAATATTTTCTAGTAAACGCCAACAATTTTTATAAATTATTTTGTAATATAGGAAAAGGATAATCTTCGGAGATGTATTATGTATCTTGATGTTTTTCTGTGTAGGTGTATATATACGTAATGCTTTACAGATTTTATAATTCTAAAAAAATAATACAATAACCTCAAATGATAATATGAGATTTCAAAACATAAATTTAAATATTAAGTTACCTTTTTTTAATGTAGAAAAACTTCCTTCTCGAACATCGTACTGAATCAGAGTAAACAAGTTTATTTAGCATTTAGAAGGAACAAAACTATAGATACGATTCTTTCTTTTTTCTTCTTGGATGTTTTTTCAGTGGGTGATGATTTGATGCATCTGACATGAGTCTACTTCTTAATGATATTTGTTATCTTATGGTCTATGGTCTCAATTATAATTAGTGTGATGTAGTCTTAAATTACTATTAAGATTCATTCAAAATAAAATTTTATTTTATACAGTTGCATAAGATGTTCAAGCAGATTATTCCTTTTACGATAGCAATTTTTACGTAAGCAATTTGTTGACGGCATATCTCAATATATTGAGAAGCAGAAGTCAATAAAATTCTTTAAAAATTTGCTGTAGCTCATCTCTCTTGAGGTTGGAAATTTTTCAATATGACTTTTTTGTGAACATCGTTATAGTACTGTATTTTTTTCATGGTTTCTTCAATAAATAACAATCTGTTATATTTGATAGCTTGCGACTTAGTAGCATTCATAAACGTACGATCTATATGTCGATTAAATATTATTTTAATTAAAAGTCAACCAGAATCATTCAAGGACGAAAATCTGGAGATACGGTAGTATCTTGACGCTAATATTATCTTACACAATATGATGTTGAGGCAAAATCTTTTCTTTTTTTATTGAATAATTTGACAGCATTTTAAATATTTTTGAATATAAAATTCATTTGAAGAATTGATTTAGCCTATCTTTCAGGATATGAAAGCTCTCAACATCTTTCTTGCAAACATAAAAATATTTAGTTAAGATATCGTTATTTTACTTATTAGGAAGAGTATCGAAATTTCATAACTTTGAAATATAAAAGAGTGATATTTGAATTAGTTAACAATAATATTTAGCATTGTGATGATTCGTTACGATTTAGTGACATAGGTTTATCGAACTTTGCTGACGAAATTGCAGAAAGGTATCAGCATTTAAATTTAGAGAAGTTATCAAATTCGTATTATCAATAGCATCATTTTGATTATTGCGTTGTTTTCGTTAAATGATGTATGTGTGTATATATATTTTTTAATTAAAACAAATATTCCTGAGGTAGGAAATTAGTAATGTCATTCGATAACAAATCTTCCAAAGTTTGAAAATGTGAGACACTGATATCTTCAAAGTCATTAATACAATTAGTTTTCATTACTTCACTAATTTCTTTTGAATCTATTTCGAAAAAGTCGGTATCAAATGTATGTTCAGAGGACATCAAAGTATCGCAATCACTTTTTCCTCGTTCCTTCATCGTTTCTTCATAAACACATTTTCTTCTATTATCAGAATTGACACGCTGACTGTCCATTGACGATTCCATAATTTGATCTTCGATAAATGTAGTTGAGACAATACATGTGTCCTCAGATTTATTTAATACACCGGTTAAATTAATTTCGGGCTGTTCAGAAGGTTGCCAGAAGACATCTTCCAGAAGAGTTTCACTTTGGATATCATTTACGAAATTGTTGTGTTCCAAGTCTATATAATTATTTGTCATCTCGTTAGTTTCTTCTTTTTTGGGGAAAAATTTTTTCATATTGTAATCAACTTCTACATTGGAGAAATGTAATCGATCGTTTAATATAAAAGAATCACTTTCTTTTTGTTGTTCCTTTATCATAGTTTCAGAATATTTACTATCGTGATCATTTATTTTTACAAAATTACCAAAATTAACATGTTGGCTATACGATGGTGGGTCTACAACTTTATCTTCAGTAAATGTAGTTGAAACAGTACATTTGTCATCGGATTTATCTAAACATTGCACTCTCTTTTCAGCGTGTACAGTCGTGACACATTTATCAGTATGATTCAAAAGATAAACATATTTATTGCAATCATTTTTTATTGTGTCGCAAGTCAATTTGATATCGTTTTTTTCATTATCGTAAAATGTGTTATGATTCCCTTGTGCTTTTGCCACGATAACGTTTGTACAATACTTTGGACATTTATTAACTTGACATACATTCTGTTTTATCATTTCCGTAATTAGTGAGCTACGATCAGTTATAAACTGCAAACTAGTCATTATAAAATGATCAACATGCCTTGTATTGCAACACGGGCACGATTTTTGTATCGCACAATTCGTGCTTGTTGGAAATTCTTGCTTAAAATCAAATTGATAATTCTGCTGATCTGTAACATTGTTTTGGCACGTTTTTAAAGGTATTGTCTCCATGGCACTTTCTTCCTGAGATGTTAATGCATCCTTATTTTGTGTTATCGAATTGTCACAAGAACTAATTATATCTTCTATTGTCATATTAGATGATACACAATTCTTTAATTTACTTTTTTCCGACACATTAGCCTTCAACTCGTTAATATTCTGATCGTCTAACATCGGTGATTTCAAATAACGCAAGTTATAACTGTGTTGTTTCTCATCCTCTTTTGTAAACTCCATACAGGTATCACTGCTAACTGAAGTACAATTCTCTATACCATTACTACTTTTGATATCACCAAGTTTAGACTCTAAACGATTTTTTTCTTTAAAATTTTTGTTGTCTTCATTAGAACGTTCTTTAACATCGGAATTTGTAAGTTTGTTTGAATATTTTGAAGAATTGATATGCTTCTTTTTGTTTTTCTTATTTTTCTTAACTTTCGAAGATTCCGAATTTCGATTAGTCGTTTTTCTTTTTACTTTATCATCTCCAGTTAAATCAATTATTATAATTTTGTGTGAATTGTTTTTTTTCAATGGTTTAAGGCTTCTTGATCCACTTTTTTGTAAATGAGTTTCCAAACATTTATTTTTATTATTTTTATTATTTGATAATGTATTATTTCGTAAACCATCTAAGCATTTATTTATTTTCTGTTCAGATGTACTTCCATTAAAATTATTTGGACGAAATAATGAATTTATCTGATGCTTCTGAAAAAGCAGTATCCCAAATTAATTTATACTTAATAGATGTATATCTAATAGATGTAAAGATCTTCACATATAATTTGAGATGAAACACTATTATTAAAAGATCTTACCTGAGACTTTGAAGTCTGATCAACATGAATTGTTTTAGTACATTTTAAATCTGTAGAGTTATCCATTTTGTCTTCAAATAGCAGGAACTGTTTATGAAATTCCTTTATATCAAATTGGTTTGATTCTATTAACCATAGTGTTTCATTTTTTTCTTGAATAGGTGGTCTAGGCACAAATTTTAATAATTCGTCTTGCAATTTTGGCATACGCGGCCCTAACAGCATTAGAGCTAACTCATCAATTCTTTTCTTTTTGTCAGAAAAATTTAACTTCTTTGCTGTTTCTTCCATTTTTCTCCACATTTTAAAGGCGAGCAAATATCTAATATAAGCTACATCGGTTATAGACGTCGGCTTTGTTTTGAGATTAGTAAAGCTCCTCCTATGTAAAAAAAATATAATCTGTATTATCTCAATTTATTGTCTGAGACATCTATGATATAATATATTAAAAAATATATTTACGTACATAAATATATGATTGCATACTTTTGTATATTTTTTTGTGTGTTTATTTCTAAGTAATATCCTGAAAATATGTTCTTCCGAGTTATCTGTAAACAGTTTAATATTAGAGAACTCTCTTTCTCTCTCCTATTTATCGACATCAAATCAATTTTTCCAAAATCAATTTTTGATAACACTTACTTAAGTATATGTACAATGCTGCAAGAATCTTTGCTGCAACTTTAGAAGAATCTTTAACGACGTGACTAGAAGTTTTTAACTCCATATCTATATATACATTTAACAAAGCTGATATTTTATTTAAATATTGACTATAATCTACATTCTGAGAAAAAAAGAGACAAAATATTAACAATGATTTTATATTTACAATTCTGTAAAACAAAAACAACAAATAATTAGAATTAGAATAGTACCTGTTGTTTTATATCAAGCCAATACATGTGAAAGAATATTAATATTTTATTAATATGATTTTTTATCAAATTAATTTTATCATTAAATTCGACAGTATTCTCTGCTACGCTAGAAAGAATATTCCTGAAATACAGCAAAATTACATATCTTTTATGTATACCTTATTTAATCCCTGATCTGTTTATACATGTGTGAAATTTCTACTTGTAAAAAATTTAACAACGTTGAATTGGATCTTCATAATGATGTAAATGATAATCTTACTGGGTGTAGAAGAAAAGCAATCGTTCCAGATGTTCATAATTTCTACTTCCTGTACATGAATGTATGATTTTATTAAATTTTAGTAACCATGGAAGTAGTTGTTCAATTTTGTTATTATCTTCCAATCTGACGTCTTCCAGACGTTTTTCCTGACTTTTTAAACGTTTTTTTGTGTTTTTATTACTTTCACATTTAGAATTGGTATCCATAACGATATCTTCCTTTGTAGCTCTGTAGGTTTACAGTATAAATCCTCTGCAATTATAAGAAGACTTACAGCATGCACAATACAATAATCAATATTTAATGTTTTAAATTTACATTTTAATATTAATGAAATTTATAATATTTTATTTAATAGACATCCTGTATCAATTAAGTCAAGTATTGAAACTTATAATTACTGATTATTAAAATTTGTTTCTACAAATTTATAAAAAATATATTTTTTATGATATACATAAAAAATGTATATAACATATCAAAATTTAAGTTCACTTGACTGTTGGAATTTTAAATAATAATAATAATTATTATTAAAGGTATTAAAATTGTTTTCTGTGTATGTTATATTTATGATAATATATTTAATATGATAAAGTTATATCATATTAATAAAAAGTAATATATAAGCCAAATGTTTAGAACAGCAAAACTGCAATTGTCAAAATTTGTTGTACATAGATATAGTAATTAATAGAAAAGTTAAATTACTAAAACTAAAAGAGTAGCGTGATAGAGAAAAAGGTAGAGAAATAGATATATCTAAACGTGTTGTCAGAAACTGCCGACAACTTTCGGATATCGTGACAGGTGCAGATTTTAATATCATTGCGGCACGCGATATGTTTCATGTAAAATTATCATGCAATGGTTCCGCGTTCTTTCATGGCAAGGAACAACGGTCACGAGGGAAATGATCTGAAATTGTTGAAAAGAAAAAGTCTCTTCGTCTTACAGCGTCTGTCGCAGATTTCTGACGTGACGATAACCTGTCGTGCCCTCTTGGTGTGTAGCGGCCTGTCAACGTGGAGGCTTCTCTTCCCGGTTGAGCGAGTTCTCTTCCTGACCAAGCGTTTCTTCCGAGTCGCATCCAAATTACGTCTGATCACGTCTGGCGCAGTCCGTAGCCGTTCAGGCCGTTCCTCCGTTCGCAGTAGCAGCTAAATCAGCCGTCCATGAGGCTGCGGCATCTTCCGAAATTTATGACCACTAAACGCGCAAGGCAGGAGTCAGGACGCGTTCGTGCTCCGCTCGTTAATCGCTGTTCGTTGTCGATGACGACGACACACTTCGCTCGCTCGCTCGCTCGCTCGCTCACTCGTCCGCTGCTTGTTCTTCTTCCTTTGTTTTGGCCTTGGTCCCCAACGCGGGCCCGTGTCATAGGGTTCACTTAGCCAGTGATATTTCAGAGACAGCACTCATTTCGTTCGTTCGTTGTAGCTCGATCGCTTGTGTTGCTAACGCGCCGCCTGTCGGTTGACACTCGCAACTTGCCAAGGCTGCGACCTGCGTTCGAATTCAACGTTTTTACGCGCTTTAAGTATCTTTAAATAACCTCGCATGCCAGCACATTGTGCCAATATATAACACAGTCAATATGCTGCAGTTATTATGTCATTTTGTACGATAAAGCAGACGATGTTTGTATAGTGCTGTCACGATTGGTCACGATGTGTAGTCGAAATTTTTAGGTCTGATTACTTTACTGGCGCTTTTACAAGCACAATATTCGCACAGCATGCAGATCGCGATGTGCTGTCAGATGAGGAATTAGCTGTTGGATATCATAATGTACTGGCATCGTGGCAAACATTTTATCCGAGCGCCTCTTTATCGTTCATTATAATGAATTCGATTGAATGCACTCGGTGCACGTTAAAGCCATTGTACATACACAAATTGAAAAATATGTATTTAATATAAAACCCAATTAAACGCATGAGAGATGATCATAAAAGCTCAATACATTTCATTGCGATGGTTAAGTAAAAATCTGTATTTTACAATTTGAAATATTTATATTTTATTTTTACACACAATTAAATCAGTTTATAATATAATTAGCTATATATACGTAAAATAAGAGTATAAGCATAAAAGCGATGAAAGCATCTAAGGCGAACGCAATAGCTTAAGTTGGCCTAATGACGTTCATGCTCTACCAATAGTAGAACAACGTTATTAATCTAACCCAGGTCGGTGCAAACTCATTCAGAACTCGTAGCGAAAAGGTTACAGTTCGCTGAAATTGCCAAATCGCTCTAGATCGCTCGGCTGCGCAAACGTCAGCAGTGAGCGAGCGCTCGACGTTCCTCGCGTCTCGCCTGCTGCAACGGCCGACGGCCCCGACGGCGCCGTGCGCGCAGGTTGCGCACGCCCGCTCTGCGCAGTGCGCGGAACCGTCCGTCACCGTCGCGTCAGGTGCGTGCTCGATAATCACGATATTTCGCGACAATCGCGACGACCGTGCCACGCCGCGTCACGCGTATTGTATGTACGTAAACTGGCGAACGTTAGATATTCCCGAAGGTGCGTGCGGATATTACAGAGGATCCTTCTAAAATTCTATTCTTTCCGACAAATGCAGTTTTTTTTCTCCGAATATCCGCGGGGAAATTAGCGAACCGATATGATTGAACTCGCGGCTCGTATTCGCGTTAACAATCGCGAATCTCGAAAGAGACGCGTTTCCTGCAAGATTATGGATTCCCGGAAGTTGACGATTGGTACAAATGGCTATATAATCACAATAGTCGCATTGGGCGTATCGTGTCTTGAGCTTGTGTAAACTCTCGGCTCTCTGCTTTCGGCGCTCGGCGCTAGTTGAAACGATTGGTTTAGTGTGCTGTACACGTATATACATATACTGATATACGCCATATATATATATATATATATATATATATGTATACATTTATGGAACTAAACAATATCCGCCGCGCACCTTCGTGCCCCACGTCCCTGGACGTGATCGGAGCTCCCCCACCAGCGGGGTGCGCTCACTGCGCGCACGCCGTCGCGCGAACGTTTCGTCCAAGTCGCCCGGCAGCGGCCGAGCACGTATGTGACATGGCGTCCGGGTAGAAAGAAAGTTAACTGCTAAATAAACGTTAATGTTGTTTTTATGACACTGACCGACCGAAAAGGGAACATCCGAGGCCGCGAATTTCCCACAGACACTGGCATTGATGGTAATGCATGCGAGGAAACCTCAAAGGATCAGCGATGGGTAGGGCTCTACCGTCAAATACCCGATACTGACACACGGCTAATCTCTTTCTCTCTCTCTCTTTCTATCTCCTCTCCTCGCTACTCTCTCTCTCGCTCTCTCTTTCTCTCGCTCTCTCTCTCTCTCTCGCTCTGCACTAACTCACCTCACCTCGTTCACCCGACATTCGTCCGTACGACCCGCTCGACCGTACACATTCATCGCAGCACTCACTGCCACAAAACCGCCGCACGACGTACCGCGGGCATAGCCAGTTTCCACGATGGGGATCCGCTCGGGTGCCGTTCCCCGTGGAAATGACCGCGACGGCGGCGGACACCGCGCCACAACCTCCCTCGCTCACGGCCCGTTGTCTTATGATTCCAGGTACTTCGAAAAGCACCAGGCCCATCCCTATCAGGTAAATATCTGTCACCACCGAAGTGATTGGTGGGATCTACGATACGTTAATGGCGGGGAGGGGATGAGGGGGGAGGTGTGATCATTTTTCGGGACGGACAGCCTCTTTCACGTCGTCTGGTACGATCATCAGAGTCTTCATCATCCATCGTCGTCGAACAGCACGCATTATTTTCGCCCGCGGTTCCGCGTCGTTACCCGCGCGACACGTCTGCTGAAGACGGGAAGGAGGAGGAGGAGGAGGAGGAGAGGAGGAGAGGAGGAGAGGAGGAGAGGAGGAGAGGAGGAGGAGGAGAGAAAGAAAAAGAGAGACAGAGAAAGATGAGATCGCTCCGGTTCTTGCGCGGAGGACACGACGGGACCCAACCGCGGTGACAGCCCTCTTCCGTGCAGAGGAGTTCCAAAGTTCGTATTCGGTTTCTCGGCTGACGAGGCACGGCGGTGAGAAACGGGCCCCCGTTCACCGTCGTTCTCTTTCCACCAGGGTTCAGGACTCGCGAACCTCGCGGTCGCGCGACCGGGAATCGATAATGCACGTTCGACGACGATCCCGCGGCAAGACGACATCCGGACGATCGCGTCAGCGCGATTAGTTTTTCACGCGTCGTTACATCCCCGCGAGATCGTCTGCTCCATTGTGCACGCTCTCGTCGTGTCGTGTTCGTCTTTGTCGTCGTTATTACCGCGTTCCTCACTCTGATTTTTTTCTCTCTCTTGCATGCGAGCAAGGTAGAAACGATCGTTCACCAGGTTGAGGCACGCCAACATCGTCGCCGAATAGTTGCGCGATTGGCACAATCGTCAGCGATTTGCTATATTACGCGTAAGACTCCTCGAATGCATTTGACGAGCTCGACAAGGCGAAAAGAATCAGCTTTGACAAGTGACATTCTGGTCATTGACAATATTTCGTACGTTAAACATATTGCGATGCGAATTGAGGTACTTTATAGATAAATTTATATTGTAGCTGTAATTAGTTGTAAGAATTTGTCCCATGCTTCTCATTGATTGTCTGTGGTGTCCTTTTGAAGCTATCATTTGTGCTGGGTGGTATTAACAATCAAATATTTATGTTCTCGATACTTAAATCGGTCCACACGAGATAGAGAGAATGGTAATTAATCGCAGTATCGCCCAATTTTTACATCCAATACGAAATAATTTCCTGCTGGTCTTGTAAACATAACCTCACTTTTCAAAAAATCAATAATTTATTCTACCAGATAATTCTCTAAAAATATTTGAGATCCTATGTCGGTAAGAATCTTATTTCAATCCCTCTCATGTTTCGACGGCTTTTGCATCACTTTTCTTCTGTATTTTGTCGGAAATAACTGTAAATGTGATAATCCTCAAGTCACAGTAACTTGATAGATTCTCTTCGTACTATTGGAACATAATTTAGGATATAACATAATCTAACATGTCTTTGTAGTATAATATTGGGAAATATTTATATAGTCTTTACTAGAATGAAATATATTTGGTTAAGTGATAAGAATTTGTTCTTAGATTAAAAATAAAATATGTGTATAATTGATACAAAAGATATTTAGAGATCATAAGCACAATTAGTATTTCTAAAAAAATTTGGTGATTTTATGGAATTGATTTCAATTTGATTTCCCATTGATTCCATAGAAGTACCAGAGATTTTTCAGAATTATATCATCAATCATTTTTATCATAATGTTATTCAATATTTGATATTTGTTCCTTTTCAGTTCTTTTTAATATCATTAGTCAATATATAGCTCTCACACATACATTCTTGCAAACGGCCACTAGATCAAAACAGTCTGTTATTCTCAAGTGGATTATCAAGCTTATAATAATTAATAGCATTTTTAATAACGATCTTATATATTCAGAATGAAAAAAGTAAGCACTCTTGATGTATCCTATTCATTTATATAATGTCTTGTGTGATCATGAATATCCCAAACACATTGTTAATGATCTGATTGTAGAACACAAAGTACAGCAGTTCTAAGGGTGGCTATTCCTCCTCGACCACGTCATCGGACAGTCGCTACGAAGGACGTATGCGCGACTCTCCAAATGGTAACTCTTACAGTCCAGCCGGCAGCTTGGGAATGGGCATGGGGACGGACCGGGACAGCCCTCGGAATTACACATCCAAGCCTCTTTACAAGAAGGAGAGAGAAAATAGAGACTATAAACTATCCTCCTCTAGGGACAAGTATTCCGGTAAATAATTTTTATTTTGCTCCACGGAAAGAATGGTTTTGCTGAAATAACTGAAATTTTAACTTGATAAATATGAAAATAATTTTGTTTGAATCATCAAAATAATTCTGTAAGATGTTTAAACTAATCACTAGAATAATAAAACTTTTTGCAGCATTGTCAATCAATGTTTAAATGTTTTACATAATTTTTTTGATGGTACCAACAAAATTATTTTCAGATCTGTATCGAATTATAAATTTTTAAATTCTTTACAAAAACAAAACTGTTAGTTTCGTGTATCCTCAACATTCTGCATAAAGCGAGCTTTTATATTTTAACAGTCACCCCATAAAGAAAGCATAAATTTGTGAATATTATTGAATACAAATCTTCATAAATATCAATTACTATGTATTTTTTTGTATAACATATAGGTGGTAATATTTCTACGAAGTAATACAATTTTCTTTTTTTTTATCTAGAATCTCAACTCCCTTTCCTTTCTTCAGTATAAAAACAGAATTGTCTCTTAATATTTTCAGCTGTAACATGCTTGCTTGCATATGTGTAGATTGTGCACGATCCTTAAAAGACAAGAGAAGCCGTGAGAGCAGGGATTCAGAACACAGGACCAACCACGATAGGAGTAGTGGGGAGGTGAGTATCTTCAACCTTAATGTCTATTATAGTTATATATAATAAAAAGGATATAATTGCCAATTATAAGTGTTCTGATCTTTTTCAGAGTTGCTCTGAAACATTTATTGTGCCATATGTATAATAAATCCTCTAGTTATTAGATATAAATTTATTTCTACTCATGCTATGAGTATGCATATGTACAGGGTTGGCCATATTCGACGGAAAGATCTGGCAACACTGTAACTTTTGACAGAGATTGTTAGATCGAGTAACGACGTTTCCCATGATTGAAAAAAAAAACATCTTTCCGTCGAATATGGCCAACCCTGTATATGAGTATGCATATGTATGAAATTATAAATTTTTTTACTATTTTTAATTTCTATTATAAAAAATATTAAACTAGACAAAAAAAACTTGCAAAGAAGAAAATTTACAAATTTTTAATTTTGGAAAAATTTTAAATATATATATATTTAAATTACAAAAATATATACATGAAATGTATACATGAATATATTAGGTGTTGGAATTAATTCGTAGCGTTTTTAATGAAAGAATGTTATTTATTTCACATGAGCATTAAAAAATACATTAATGAAAGTACTTCCCATCACTTGTAAAACGCTACGAATTAATTCCAACACCTAATATATATATGAAATAGATATCTATTTCTTTTAGGCATGTGCAGTCATAATGAGTTTTTATTTAAAATGTTTCATGTTTCGTCCAGCAAATGGATTGTTAGATAACTTGTATATGGTTATATAATCCGATGAATTTATTTAAAACTTTGCTTAAAAAAGGCATTAATATTGCATGTCTTTTTTAATTAAATATATATCTTTTTAGATGCATGTGCACTATCATAATAATGTTTTTGTTCATGTTTTTATAGATCTTACATCCCTTAAAATTATCATCAAATTCATCAAGGGAATCTTCATCCCAGAGAAAACCATCACACAATTCCTGTCAGGTCAGTGTATTATAATTATGTTTATTCATTTTATATTGGCATCAGTTATAAATTTAAAATTCTAAGTAAAAGATAAAATTATACCATTTAATACCATTTTTATACATTCATTGCAGTAGCAAAATTTAATTATTATAGCAAAATTTAATTTAATTATAGCAATATTTATTTTAATTGATTAAAAAAAAACTATTCTGAACACTTCTATACATTTTTGTTTGCTACCATAATTTTAAATAACTTCATGTGTACATAATCAATATCTTAATAGCCTCAAGAATATAGATGAATATAATGTCAACTTTTCGAACACGTTTTGGAATTGATGCAAATATTCTCCATCTATTCAATTGTTTCCGGAAATTTTAGAACAGTCTGTTTAGGATAAACGTGGTGATGAGCGAGGAGGTGCAACGGAACGGACAGCCAGATTTGGCGATTGGTCCGAACACATGAGTTCGTCAGGAAAGAAGTATTATTATAACTGCAAGACGGAAGTTTCTCAATGGGAAAAACCACGGGAATGGATCAGTCGGACAGATAATCGTCAACGCCAATCTAGTGACTACTCTTCTAGGTCAAGTACGTCTAAATTTTCATAATTGTCAGTAGTAGTAGTGGAGGAATGGATCCCTATATGTCTAAATAGTCAAAGAGATACCTAGATTTAAAGAACTCCTCTACGATTTCCGCTAAGTCAGTACGAAATTTTTTTGTATACATAGAAGGATGTATGTATGAATTTTCTGTACATACAGAGAGATGCAGGATTTGAACTGATTGTTATGAATTCATTACTCATACAGCCACATGACAATTCTTTTATAATTGTTAAATATAATATATAAAGTGTTAGACATAATGAATGAAAAAAAATAATGAAATAAAGTAAGTTTTTAAGTATAAAACATAATAATAAATTTGGTTTTTTTGATTGGCATTTAATATTTATAGTTTTGATATTTGTACTTATATATTTACATTATCAGGGTTGCTACAGACCTGGAAAACCGGGAAAAGTCAGGAAATAATATAAAAGAGACTGGAATTTTGAACTTTGCACTTACAAAAAAACATTGAACAATTCCCTTAAATTGCTCCTATTCCAAATATCTTTTTATAATTTTTTAAATATTATATTTGACGTTTATAGTCAAATACATTCAAAACTCATGCACTTTAAACGATTGTAAAAAATATATTTTAAATTTATATTTTATTCAGTAATTCTATTTAATTGCTCTTTTTCGTCATTACTTCTTTTTTCCAATACTAATTTATTTTTTGTTGACTTGAATTCGTCCTCAAAATTTTATTATGCTACTAAGCTTCTTTTGTGTTTTTAATAATATAATCTAGCTTTCTTATAATAATTCTTGATTCTAAATGTCAAAAAAAATTTTTTACATATTTTATTATGTTAAAATTTTTACATATTTTATATTGGTCATAGAAATTTTCAATTTTTATCTTGAAAATCTGGAAAAGTCAGAGAATTTTCCAGATTTCTAAATTCATTTTCTGTGGCAACCCTGGTTATAGAAAAATCTCTATGAAAATTGATAAAATATATATTTATTTAATTCTTTCTATTTTAAAACTTGATATATCTTTTAATTTATCTTATATTATACTTAATACTTATATTATCTTATATTATACTTTATTAAATAAAATAACAAAAAATACATATTGCGTTTGTGTGATATATTTAAAAAGATTAAGGGACAATTACATTCACATATTACATATATAATTTCTAATAAAACAACTCTTTACTTTTTTATATATGAAATATATACATATAAGACTTTACCAAAACTGAAATTTTTCTGGGCAGGTCATGATAAACATTCCAACTCGCGATCAAATAGCAGTAGCAGTATGCGAGATGGTAAATCGTCGCGACAGTCTGACAAACGAGAATACTGGAGCTTATGTAGCGCGAGCGGTGGTGGCAGTAGCAGAGATGATGTTTCTGCAAGGGAAAGGGAGCGGGAAAAAGAACGGGAAAGAGAACGAGAACGAGAACGAGAGCGAGAACGTGAACGTGAACGAGAACGAGAACGGGAAAGAGAAAGAGAATCTAGAGAATGTAGAGAAGAAGTTAGTGTAGAACGCCAAACTCAAGATATGGATATCTCGCCAGGTGATTCTACACCCACTTCGGAACCTTTAACGTCATCCTGCGCTCATGATCCACTGCCACAAGGCCCTGTTCTCCTGGCCGCTGGTAGGTTTTCCTTTTATATTATGTACAAACAGCATATAGAAAACATGATAATATTTTTGAAAATATATATTAAATAAAAAAATGTTTAAAGTAGAAATATTACAATTTAAAATGATATTTAATAACAGGGAAATGTCAGGGAAATGCCACAAAACTGGAAATCAGGGAAAAGTCAGGGAATTTTGCAAAATTTCTGGAAAATAAAAAGTCTTGGCTTTAAAGAAGTAATATGCGTACATCACACTACGCAGTTTTGGAACTACCAGCTTAACAATTAAATGCAAGCTGTATCAGCAACATTAATAGTAATTTACATTATGTTAAATTACATTCTCAACAAAATATTTGGCTTGATTTTTCCAAATTAACACAAAAATACAAAAATTTCAAAATATTATTGAAAGCCTCAGGAAAAATCATTAAATTTTCTCTGGAAATCAGAGAATTATGGAATTTTAGGATGAGGAATTTGTGAATAATAATTTCATCATGCATGAAGCATTCTATTTTTGAGAAATTACAATGATCATTGTTTTTAAATTACATTTTTTTTTTAAATTAAAGATTTAATTTAAATTTTCTTTTAATATTAATTTATTATATTTTTATATGCTTCAATTTATAGATTTTTGATATACTTTTATATTTTTGTTGTACTTTCGTCAGCGTTACCTCGGTTAACATCACATCCATCGTCAACGACACCACAGGCAACTGGAAAACTTAGTTCGCCAACGCAACAACAGGGAAGTAGTAATGCTCCAGGACCACCGGTGTCACTAGCAAATCTTCCAAGACTACTGTCACAAATTACGGGCAACAAAGAACAACCTGACATCACACCACAGAAAGCATTACAGACAATTCAAACAGCTATCTTACTATCCCGACAAGTAAGAGAGCATTTTTAATGTTTCTAATACTTAGAGACATATAATGAAATTATAAGTTATATTTCTTTCTGTTGAAATAAAATTCAATTAAAGTAATGCGAAATTTAATATTTTAATTATCAATTGATAAGTTAAATTATTTTTTCCGCACTATTTTAATTAATCGCGAAAATTTCATAATTATTATGCTTATCTATTAACAAAACGGTAACTTTTAACTACTTTTTTTGTGACGTAATCGAAAACATCCGGTAATTTTCAAATGATAATATAATCAACTAGTTATTTCTTTCCTCTTTTATCTTAAAACATGTGTAAATGGTATTCATAATTGTATATACTTGTCTTTTATTATAGCAGTCTGTTAGTGGGGATCGAACTAATACTGGAAGTGATGTGATGGTTCCATTAAAAGTTGATACAAGTGGCAATATTACCAGCGAGGGTCCACCTACTCCCACACATTCAGAAACCCAGGATTGTATTGATGCGCGAAAATGTAAGTCTTTTGTTTTTTATAATGTTTATATTTTACAAATCACTGTTTACCTTTATGTGTATTATATTCTTTCATCATATAAATCATTTTCTATTACAGTTCATTTAATTCAATTAAATACTAGAGTATAGACTAGAACGCTCTTCTTGTGTTAGTTATTAACTATCACTATTATAGATTCTTATTACAAGATTTATTTATCTCCGGCACACTTAATTTCCATTTTAATCCATTTTAATTATTAATTTAATTAATACTAAAATTAAATTTTTTAATACGTAGGTTGAATTGAAAATAGCTGTTTGGTAAAGTAAAATTTAATTTTTGAATTCATTAACTTCGTTCTAAATTATATCCTAACTAAAATATAGAAAATAAACTAATATGTTGATAAATTATTTTAATTCGTGAAACAATGTGTCGAAATAATTTTTATTATCTTTTATTATTAAGTCTCTTCCAGTTTTGCTTGGATTTTTTAAAATTTATTTTGGTTATATTTTATTATATATATTATCATTCATTTGTGTAGTGACAAGTCCTGGAGGAACAAATTCCGGAGTACAAGGTCTAAGCTCCTTGCAAAGTCTCAGTACATTAGGTTCTCTTGGAAATTTGAGTAATACAGGAGGTTTACAGGCATTGTCGAGAGTGCAGCCTCCTTTAACACCTTCTTTAACACCATCTCTCGCTAATCATTACCGGGAAGACTTGACACAGCATGTGCGTGCTTTTCCCGCTGATATTCTCGAAAAACAGGTGCGAATCCAATATTTCTTAAATAATAGTTCCTTTATTGTTACTAGATGATTTTCTTAAATTAAATAATACTTATGTACAGGCACAGAAACTTAGTGAGGAAGCACATACAATGGGCAGTTTGCAGTGTACGAGAGTGTCCGCAGAATTGAAGACGGCACGATCGATAGTGAGGCTGACAGAAATTCAGGCAACGTTACAGGAACAAAGGTAAGTTTCATGTTATAGCACATTTAATAAATGTTTAAACATAAAACAATTATATCATTTATTTACTTATTATTTTAGGATATTATTCCTCCGTCAACAAATTCAAACACTAGAGGAGTTAAAATCCCAAAATTCCTTCATGTCTGACGATTCTTAGTGTAAGAATCTTTATAAAATAATTATGATTACAATCTATAATTAATTCAAGCAAAATAAAACATGATTATTAATATTCTCATTAATATTGAATAATTAAGATTGTACCTAAATTATAATATCGTAATAGAAGTGATATAATAGCGAATGAACATGGGCTGCTCAGAGAGGATTGGCTGTTTCATTTATCAGCCAACGAGTCTTAATAAGTAATTAATGAATTTATTAGTGAATCCACCTCTCTGAGAAGCACATCAGGCCTATCCAATACAAGTAGCACAGCAGTGCTTGCAAAGTGATTATATGCGCTTTTTTAGCGTTTTGTTAACGCTTTGTAAGCGCTGTGCTACTTGGGAAGTCGCAAACACAACACTAAATGATTAGAAAAACGAATCAATTTTATCAGTTCAATGCAAACTACTGAATTGTATATCTGAATTGTCCACATCGTCTTGTATTTACCTATGTTATACGTGTCAATGTTTCATATCCCAAGATTAAGCGGCATTTTAACTAGTTGAAACATTTTTGTTGTAAATCTCGGAATAAAATTCGTGCCACAAATTTTAATACAGTTCTTTATCAGCCATAGTCTCACTTACCTAATCTCCTGAATTTTTCGTTGAGAAAGGGAGAGAATCGCTTTTAGAGAACTTATATTAAATATATTTACATTAAATATGAGACAGAGGAAATCATATATTTTATATTCAGATTTGTGTTCGATCTCCAATTTTATTACAGGGTTTCTTGACATTGTAGAATGTATCATCGCTGTGAGCAAGTATTGATATATTATTATACATGCTCTTCTATTTACATCGTGTAATTAAAAAGTATAGCATTGATGCGCGCGCGAAATTTTAGAATAACAAATGGCTACCATTTAATTTCTAGTGTGTAAATAGCAGAATCAGAGTGAGTATTATTTACGAACGATATAATTTTATGCATGGTAAATTTTTTCAGTTAATAAGAACATTATTGTATCGAAACTATGAATTAAAATAAAAATACACATTTTTTATATTATAATTACAAATAACTCGTTTTACTTTAATCACCTAACTATGTCAAATGAAATACACAAATAAAATTCTATCCATAATTCGAGCGTTTAACATAGTACTGTATATCGAAGTTGATACATTGCGAATTGTAATAGTTGTTTAAAGGACTATATTGTTAAGGAATTCTTTAATGAGGTTTTTTGAACCATTTTTTATTGTATAATTTATTTATTTGAATAATATTCTGCAAAATAATGGAAAAATGAATATATTAAACGAATATACTAAAAAAGTCTCAAAAGAATTATTTGCATATTGTTGAAAATTATCTTTTGAAATAAATTGTTACAACAGTTTGTAGAGCAATATTTATGTGTGTATATATACAGGATGAAGCAGAGTCGTTGAACCAACTTTTTACCCTATGAGAAAATTATCGACTTCATACCTAATTGAATTATAACGTGTGCAGTCAATTATTTTCTCATAGGGTAAAAAGCTGGTTCAATGACTCTGATTTACCCTGCATACACACACACACACATATTATATATATATATATATATATACACATATGCATAACACACAACACAAATACACACATGTACATTTCTATATATATGAAGCGAAGTTTCGTAAAGAAACTGAGAAAAGGAAGAAGGAGCAAATTATTGCCAAGAATTGAAGACACTGGAGTAAAAGTAGATTGATGTTTCTATATAGGATTTAAGTCTAATATGGTACTGATGTGCAAAAAATATAATAGGAATACGAGAATATTTAGTTATCCTTTAAGAGAATTTATTTATCACTTTTAACTATCTTGAATTACATCGATATCTTCCAAAAGAACTTCTGTAAATTATTACACTTTCTTATCTTTACAATGTTGCATTTACATGGCATGTAATAATTGAAGTTTATGAACTAATTGTTAAGGAGTAGTTTGTACAGTATGGAAATAAATGTTGCAATAGAAACGATTGATCCTACTTTCATGTTCAATGCCTTCAATTTTTGCGTCCAATTAGGATAATATTCCATCGCTCTATATTGTTGAGATCTTTATTATTTTGTAAAATATATAAAATATATTCATTGCGATATTGCGTAATATTATAAGTGCTCCATTAAGGCAATGTCACCTTTATTCTTTACAGATAAAGAACCGAAGCAGTAATTCTTCGGAGAAAGAGAAAGAAAGTTGATACTATTTTCTTTGCAATTCTGTTTCATAAGAAAAAATTCCGTGTATGTTATATATATTTTTATTGTTATTATTGCGAGTATTATTAATGTCACTTATACTTATAATATATTCTGCATCAAATTAAAATGCATTTAAATTTAATGTATCATCTTAAAAGAAGAAATTATGGCTTAAGTTTTAAGATTTAAAGATAATAATACATTTTCAATAAAGTAATATATAAAGTATATATATAAAAGAAATATTTTTAACTGTAAGCGTATTTCCTTGATTTGTGCGAATAAAGATGGCTTTTCTTATATCTCTTGCATGTCTTGTACATATTTTAATAAGTGTCTTTCGAATTGTTCTATAATTCATCGGTTGAGAAACACCAATGCGTTTTTCGTATTAACTAATGTTACATCATGTCATGAGAATGTAACACCATCCCCATAGCACCTGAAGCATACAGTGAACATTCTCCCATGTATTATTTTATTTAATTACAGTCAGTCATTGGATTTATTTTATAACAAACTCCCTCATTTCTGAACTTTATTAGATAATTGCTTAATGCATTCTCGATAGATATTCAGAAAAATTCAGTACAATGCATAATTTCCAATGGACTAAGATTATAATAAGGCCTCAGAATATTTGACATACTGTAACATCCCATGGCTCATAGAAATATTACGTAAAAATGCAGTCATCATAAAAGTTTGCTATCACTATTGATGTATATAAAAGAAAATATTAATTTTATATAAAGGAATATATATATATTATATACCAACGCTTTATAAGCTGCAAATAATACTACCTACAATTTTATGCATATATAAATTTTAATATCGTATGTATATATATATATACACACACATACACATACATACATAAATACATGATATTAAAATATTTTCTATTTTAAATAATATGAAAAAAACATCAAAGAGAGAAAATTCTATCAGATATGGGATGTTACATATCTATTGTGTTGAACATTTTTAATGCAGTACTCTTCAGATGTTTATGCAAACATATTACAAAATGGAGAGTATATAAGTGCTACAAAACAATTCCAATATGCTTTATAATTGTTTACATCTACATTACACATTCATTATGTATTTGTAAGGCCATATATACGAAATTTAATACAAAGATATTGCCTCTGTACAGACAATATTCGATATACTGATAAATTTGGAAATTTGTCTATTCATAGACAAATGGACGACACAGCCTCAACAGAGAATGTTCACAGTGTAAGACAGCAGCACAGACATATCTCAGCGCAGCCTTACTTTACCATTAATTATATTATATTCATTTTGCAATCGTGTAAAACAGAGTCTTGTCAATTGCTTATGTTCAAAACATCCTTTGTAGGCATTATTAAGGTATGGGAGTTTGCTTAAAAACTAAAATAATTTCACGTATGCGAATTTTTAAGTTATTTAACTATTTATTCGTACGCCCTTGATTAACTTTACACATACCTGCATCACAGAATTTTCTTGAAATCACCCATACACTGGCATTATGTATTTAATCAATGTTGTTTATATCTTAAATGAGAAATGTACCTACAAAGGATATTTTAACAATGTTAAAAAATATAAGTCTATATAGAAACTATATCGTATGAATTTTTGTCCCTTAACAATGTACAGAACTAAATGTTTACATGTAAATATTACATAACAATGGATAAACAACAATGTTTAACAGAATGTTTTGTACCTAGATATCTAATATGGCATAAGATAGGTCATGTGCCGAGTTATTCTTGGCTACTGTCAATTCTAAGCCAACATTATACACAATTAGTTATTAAATAAGATGTGCATGAGTTCAATGATTGATGAATCATTATTACATGCCATCTAACTACTTTCCACTTTAAGGGACTTCTAAAAAGAATTATTTATAATCCCAGTTGTTTGAGTAATTTAAAAAATTGTGTAATGTCATTCTAAGAATTGCACGAAAATTGTTCGTTATATCATCATAAAAGATATCAAAAGATTTCTATTTAAAAGAATGCTAAATAAACATTTCTTATTATTTGTAATAATAGAATATGAGATTTTACAAAATTTTTGATTTTATCTTAAAAATATTCAAGATGTTATAAGTGAACAGCATCTCCTTGTCTAAATTTAATTAAATCAAATCTTTATTTATTTACGTCCCACTATATAAGCACATATTAACAAATAAAAATTAGTATATAATTCGAAAAATTCAGAAACTTGTCAAAAATAAAAATTATATCCAATAAAACATAAAAAAGAAATTCTTTAGAAGCCCCATAATAATTTATCTTCATTCAACATATCCTTCTTTCAAATTTATTTCACTCACTCTATGGTAAAACACACAACATTATAATATAATCCTATCAAAATGGCATTCAGTATCTTCTTATAGGATTATTTCATTCAATATATAAAAAAAATATATATAATTTCGACTACTCAATGGAAACGTTTAGTAATCGTCAGTTTGTACTATCCGAATGCCATTTTTGTGTATATTACACTTTCTGGACTAGTTCTACAAAGATTGTGTAGGGCTGCCCACGAAATTCTAATTGAAATATAATTAATATCTATGTATGTGTGTATATATATATATATATATATATATATATACGTATAGTGGGACTTTATTGATATATAGTCAGTTCACAATGCTCGTAATGTCACAATGTTCTACAAGTGTCCTTGAGTTAACATTGCTATAAACTTGAATGATAATTCAATTATACAAAATCGTATAAAATTTCGAAAAAATCATTGATATATATTTATCAAAAATGTGAAAATATAATTTCTAACATGAATATAAAAATCACTATTTTTTAATAAACTAACGCAAAATAAGACTGCTGATTTGTATTTTAAACAAAAAATATTCGGAAAACATTACATTTGAAAAAAATTATATATAATGAAATTATTATGAAATAACGTAAAATTGGTTTAATTAATTTAAAATTATTATGAGAATCATTTTTTACAAACTTATCTTGTTTTATTTGAAAAATTTTGTTGAAATTTAAATACACTGAAGATATTTAAGTATTAATATTTATCTGCTTTGATTTATATATGTTCACAAATTATGATTCCCTCCCTGTACATATAATGCTTTTAAACTAAACTCAATAACTTTCACATCAAGATCCTTCTACAAAGCGTGCTACGAGCTGTGACTGACTTATACTTACCTATGAAGGTGGTAATTTCCCACTAATATTTTTTTTCAATTGCACACGTCAAGTGCTTATTAATTTTCTTTATCGAGGTACTTTTCGATTTCGGCAAATATGTATGCTATCTTGAATACGTCAT